TATTTTTAAAAAAAAAAAAAAAAAAAAAAAAAACATATGTAGAAATTAAAATTTAATAGAATTTATAATAATGAAATGTTTTACAAAATAATTTAAGTCATTTATTATTTTATATTATAACGACGTTGATGTGTTAATATATATACACACAAATAGTTTCACTTCTAAATATATTTTTGTATTACTATCACCTTATTTTAATTTTTTTTATTTCGTATATTTTTTGTTTACTTATTTTTTTTTTATTATTTATTTTTCTTTTTTTTTTCTTTTGTTTTACTATTTTCCTTTGTTATGTTTCTTTTGAATTTTTGTTAATTTGAATAGTTATTCTATATCTTTTTTTATAACTTTATATGATTTTATATTATAAATATAGTTAGATGCATAAATATAATCACTTTATATATTTAAAAATTAAGAAATGAAAAAGTGAAATCAAGTATACTTATATATATATAATCAGATAGAATAATATAAAATATTAGATGAGCATTTATAATAAGTTTTATAAATTCATAATAATAATTTATTTCTTTTTCTTTTTTAATTTAACAAAAAAAAAAAAAAAAAAAAAAAAAAAAAATACTATTTGAGAAAAATAAAAAATGTTTAAAAAAAAAATATTGTCTTTAAATAAAAAAGAAAAGAAAGATATATATTTTCATAAATTAAAAAGGATATATATACAATTAAAAATTATACGATATTTTATATATGTTCACAATGATAAAATTAAACACATTTTTATTAAATTATTATATAAGAAAATTTTTCAGTGTAAATCTCTATATGATATTAATCTAAATGTTCTTAGTTTATTTCTAAAAAAATGCAGAAATAAAGTTAATTATAATCCTATAAAAGGTAAATCAGATTTTAAAAATTTACAACTTGAATTATTCAGTATCTTAAATGTAAAAACACAACTAAATAATTATATAACTTTTCTAATTAATAAAATTATAAATCATTTTGTAGAAAAAGGAAATAATAAAAATTATATTCTAAAAAATTGTGATACAAAAAAAAATAAAAATTTATTATTAGAGTTAATTAAAATATTGTTATATAATTATCAACAAAGAGAAAAAGAGAAAAAAGAAAGAAAAAAAAAGGAAAAGGAAAAGGAAAAGAATACTCAGATTATGAATAATAAAAATGATTATATATTAATAGATTATTGTAAAAAAGAAAATGAAAATAATTTGTATAAAAAATCCTTAAATAGTAATAATTTAAATAAAAAAAAAGGAAATAGTTTAACTTTTACAAATGAGCAATCAAATATTAAAAATGAAAATAAGAAACAATTTGTAGAAAAAACTAGTGCTTGTATAAACAGCAACAAACTTTATAATATCAAAGAAAAAAATAAAGTAGGATGCAATTTAGAAAGTATGGATTCTAGCTTTTTTTATGATTATATGAAACATTATTTTTTCAGTTCTATTAACGAAAAAAAAAAAAAAAAAATAAAAAAAAAAAAAAACATAGAAAGGTGTAACAAAACGAAATTTAATAGTAATATTTATGATAACTCTTATGCATTTACCAATTTAAATAATAAAATCATTTCAAATTATTTTTTAAAAAATCAAGTTCATAGAGAAAACAAAAGTGTAGTATATAATAAGACAAGAGAAAATTATATAAATTCCTGTAAAAAAAAAAGAACTAAACGTTCTAATGAATCTAATGTAATCAAAAATAGAAAAAACAAAATAGTATATAATGAAATGTTTTATAAAAAGTTATATAAAATTTTTAATAAAAATAAAAAAAAGTGTATAAAAAATTTAATTTGTGAAAATCATATAAATTTATATAATTTAAATTGCTGTACTTGTAAGTTTATATATTCTATCAACAAAGTTTATTATTCGTTTAAACATGTGAACTTTAAAAAACAACAAAATAATAAGTGTTTATTTAATGAAAATAAAATGAATAGACATTATTATATAAATCCTATTAAGTGGGAGAATGAATATCTATATAAGGAATATGATAAATTAAAATTAGAGAAATGTAAGAAAAAAAGAAAAAAAAAAAAAGAGAGAACAACAAATAAATTAACAAAAATAAAAAAGGAAAAAATCGTTAGTAATTATGTAGATAAAAAAGAGAAAAAACAAGGTATTTTGAAAGAACAAAAAAAAAAAGAAAAAATACAAAATAAAAGGGTTCGCATAAATATTTGCACTGATAAAAATAAAAAAAAATGCTCTTTAAAAAAATATGATAATAATAAAAGAAATACAAGCGATGAACATGAAACAGTAGAAGCATATTTAATAAATTTTTGTAGGAATAATAATAACATAATAGAAGTAAATCAAAATATAAATGAAAATAATGATATGAATTATAGCGAATTGGATGTATATATGGATGAATATAGGGGAAATATGGAGAATTTATCTATGATTGATGATATTTCCGATTTGCAACCAATTCATTTAGCAACTAAAGAAGGAAACATTGAATTAATAAAAAAAATTTTAAAATCAGGATCAGATGTAAATAGTAAAACAAGAATAAGAAAATTTACTCCATTACACTTATCTGCATCAAAAGGAGATATAGAATCAGTAAAGTTTTTAATTGATAATAGTGCTGATATAAATGCTTTATCTTCTGATAATGAAACTCCTTTATGGTGCGCATCTATATCTAATCATTTAAATATTTGTAAATATTTATTAGCAAATGGTGCTTTGTTAAATTTAAATTTAGATGAAAAATATGATTCTCCTTTACATGCTGCTTCTATGATGGGGAACTTTGAAATAGTTAAATTACTAATTGAAAATGGGGCTGATATTACATGTTTAGATTTAAATTTGTTAGAACCAGTTCATTATGCTTCATTTGAAGGTCATAAGGGAATTGTTAAATATTTAATTTGTCAACAAATTAAACAATCATTGAATAAAAAAATGAAAGAAATTGTGAGTATTATGAAGAAATACAACTCTTATACAAAAAATTTAGAAATACATTATTATTTAAAATTTAAATCTATTTTTAAAAAAAGAATAACAAGTAAAATATTATGTTGTGCTATTACATCTGGAAATTATAAAATTGTTGATATAATTTTAAAAAAAGGAGCAGATCCTAATTATTTTGATGTTCGTTTGCAACTTTTTCCAATTCATGCTGCCTCAATAACTGGTAACATTAAAATATTTAAAAATTTAGTGAAAAGAGGAGCAAATATATTTATGAAAACTAGCTGTAACAACCTACCAATTGATCTAACAGAAGATAATGACATAAAGCAATTTATTTTGCAGCATTCAAGAAAAATTAATGTAAGAAATGCCTGGATTATTAGACTAAAAAGAAAAAATCATATAATATCTCTTTTATCTTATGATATATTTTATTATCTTTGTACTTTTTTTTGAGAAAAGATATACATGTGAATTGTTATACTTAATAAATATTAACTTCCATTACATTTACATTGATAAAGACAAGAAACAATGAATAGTAATATAAACATATATATATATATATATATATATATATATTGTCTAATAATTATGAACAAATAAAGCTAATAATAATTTATAGAGAATTTTTATAATAAGAAGACATAATTTTTAATCTTTATTATTAAATTTTAAGATAATTTTTTTTTTTCTTTTTTTGTTTTTTATAAAAAGGCAAAAAAAAAATGTCCTATTAATTGTTTTGATGGATTTTAAAATATATTTATTTTATAAACTTTTTTTAATTGTGCTAATTTTATATTATTAATTTGTTTATTCATATGTTTACTTAATTTATTTTCTCACTTTTTGTGTTTATATCATCATTTTATTAATCTATTCATTTATTTTTTTTTTTTTTTTTTTTTTTTTTTTTTTTTTTTTTTTTTTTTTTTTTTTTNNNNTTAATTTTTTTTTTTTTTTTTTTTCATCCTTCATTTATTCTCTTTTTATGTAGATTAAAAAAAAAAAAAAAAAAAAAAAAAACATTTTTCTTAGTATATTCAATTAAAATATTTTTTTAAAACATTATGGATAATAATATTGTAATAAAAAATTTAAAAAAAAAAAAAATTTGGTCTTGAATTTTTTACCGAGTATTCTAGACATTTATAAAAAAAAAAAAAAAAAAAATAACAAATTTCATTATGAATATTCCTGTAAAAAAATATAATTTAATTTCATATTTAGATGATAAATTAAATAAATTTTTTTTTTCTATACATATTAATAACTATTTGTAAAAAAATACAAAAAAAAAAAAAAATTATCATATAGAACTTTATTTAATCTCTATAACTTATTGTTTCAAAAAAAATGTAATGGGATTAGTTAATAATATAATAATAAGAAAATGAAAACTTTAATTAAAAACATTATTTAATAATTTTATATATATAAAATAAAAAAAAAAAAAAAAAAAAACTCCACTATATGAAATATTCAAAATTTCAATGCTTCTATAATATTATTTACTTTTTAAACCAAATATATAGATATCTAAATTCATATATTATTGAAATTTAAATGTAAATGAATTTTAAATTATTATTTTAAAAAATTGTCTTTATTTTTTAGAATCACATTTAAACATAAGATTCATTTCACTTCTGAATAGAATTAAAACGTTTATATACTTTTATCTATTTTACTTAATCTTAATATTTTAAATAAACATTGAAAATAATTAAAAACAAAAAAAAAAAAAAATTTTCCCTTTTATCATTTTTTTTTAATTAAAGATTTATAAAGAATATTAAATTACATTTTCATATATTTTAAATCATAAAAAATAATAAAGAATAATAGATATAAGATAAAAAAAAAAATATAAATATTAAAAAAAAAAAATAGCATAACAAATATATTAAAATATATATATAAAAAAATAGTGCATATATAGAAAAAAAAAATTTTCATTTTTAATTTTATGTAGTGAAATATATTTTTCAAATAGTTGCATTTAAGAACTAAAAAAAAAAAAAAAAAATAAAAATAAAAATGAAATAAGTAAAATCAAAAAAAATATAGTATATAGTAAAAAAATTAGAACTTTAAACTTTTCTTTTTTTTTTTTTTTTTTTTTAATTAAATAAATGTCAGAAGTTTATAGTATTGAGCCCAAAACATCTGGAAAAGTGATTATATACACTAGTTTAGGTGAATTAGAAGTTTTACTTTTTAGTAATGAATGTCCAATAGCTTGTAAAAATTTTATTCAATTATGTTTAAATAATTATTATAATAAAAATAAATTTTTTAGAATTATACCAAAATTTTTAATTCAAACTGGGGATCATACAAATACAGGATTACGTAAATATATTTATATATATATTTATATATATTTTGATAAATTTATATAGATATTTTTTTTTTTGTTTTTTAGATAATGAATATGCTTTTAAAGAACCATTTAAAAATGAATATAATAGTAGGCTAAAATTTCTGTACACTGGTTGTTTATCTTTTGCTAATTTAAATATAGATAAACCATCTAATGGTAGTCAATTTTTTATTACATTAGATAAGGTAGAATATTTAAATAACAAAAGTACCTTGTTTGGAAAAGTAGCAAAACACAGTATTTATAATTTATTAAAATTTAATAATATAAAAACTAATAAAAACGATGAACCCATAGAAGACATTCCATATATTGAATATATAAAAATTATTGAAAATCCGTTTCATCATTTAGTCCCATATACTAATTATGAAGATAATCTGAAAGACGATAAACCAAATACAAAATCTGAATCCTTAAAAAAAAAAGAAAAAAAACAACTAAAATGTAATTTACTATCATTTAATTATAATATCAGTGAGAAAGACGAAGGATCTGAAAATGAAGAGATAAATTTAGAAGAGAAAAGTGAGGAAGAGAAAAGTGAAGAAGAGAAAAGTGAGGAAGAGAAAAGTGAGGAAGAGAAAAATGAAGAAGAGAAAAGTGAGGGAGAGAAAAATGAAGAAGAGAAAAGTGAGGAAGAGAAAAGTGAAGAAGAGAAAAATGAAGAAGAAAAAAATGAAGAAGAGAAAAGTGAGGAAGAGAAAAGTGAAGAAGAGAAAAATGAAGAAGAGAAAAGTGAGGGAGAGAAAAATGAAGCTAAAAAAAGCATACGTAATATTTCTGAATCTGAAGTTAAAACTCATAAAGATAGTAAACCGAATGAGTCTAACAAACATAGTGATAATTTCAAAAAAGAGATAAATAAAAAAGATGAAGAATCAAAAACAGAAAAAATGAATATATTAAAAAAAAGAACCAAATCTATAGAAGAGTCTTTCACTAAGGAAAATAAAAACCCCAAAAGAATAAAAGAACTTGCTGATTTAGTAATATATATATATATATATTTAATATATATTAAAAAAAATAAACTAATTTTTTTTTATCTTTTTTTTCAGGATGAAACTTATTTAAAGAATATAAAAAAATATAAGAAAATGTCTAAAAAGGAAAGAGAAAAATTGGTAATTAATGCACTTTTATATATATATATATTTTTTTTTTTTTTTTTTTTTTTATATAATTATTTACTAATTTATTTTTTTATTTCTTAGTCTTTAAAGAAATTAGAAGAGTTTGACAATAGATTAAAAAGTCTCTTTTTAGACAGCGGTTAGGATAAAATTTTAATATAATCCTATACATATTATATATATATATATATATATATATATATATATATATATATATATATATATTTATATTTATTATTGATTTTATTTTTTAATTAGAAAAAAATGATAAATCTATAAAGTGTGATTGGTTAAATACTAATGGATTAAAATTTTATGTAGATTCTTCAAATGTAAGCAATTTTTTCACTGAAATGATTATATACCATTATTTATACTACAAATACATTCTTATAAATAAATTTTACTTTTTGTAGGCTTATGAATATGAAGACATTAAAAAAAATGTAAGGATTTTCCTCAATATAAATTAATATATATATGTATATTTTAATATTATTTTTTTGTATTATAGGTAGTGGATTCACTGGAAAATGAAAAAAAAAGCACTTATAACTCTGAATTTAATATGAAAGTAATATATAAATATTTAATTTAAAAAAAAAAAAAAAAAAAGTGAATTATGTTATTATGAAATAAGATTTCTGCTAATATATATATTTGTAATTTTTTCATATTTATTTCTTTTTTGTAGAAATATATAAAACAGAAAAATGAAAATAAAGAACATTTTAAATAGTGATTTATATAAAAAAAAAAAAAAAAAAAAA